AATCGCGCTGAGGTTCTGTTTCTTTAGAATTCATCCGAGCACAAATTTCAAAATTCCTCTCTTTTTTAATTTTTCTGCTTTGCTCTTGCCTTTCTTTCCTCGTGGACACACGCAATCACGCCTGCATCAGAATTGATTGGGAAGAGCGTTAGGTGGATTAGTTCAAGCGATTTGAAAGAAAATAAAATCAAAGAGGTTAGAAACGGGTTGCCTCCGTAAGCGCTTCTTTAACGTCACTAGCTTGACGTACTTCACACGGAATCATGGTGATTTGGAAACATCAATGAGAGATAAATTTTCTGGCTTCTCAATTAGCTGACCCTCATAGTATGGCTTGAGACGCTGCCCATTCACTTTGAATGGAGGGTACTTGTCATTGAAAATCTCAACCGAGCCATAAGGAAAGGTTTTTGGACACTTGAAATGGACCGCTCCATCTAGATCTCAATTTCCCGGGGAAGAGCTTGAGTCTTGAATTGTAGAGCAGGACCTTTTGTCCTTCCACAAATTCCTTCTTGGAAATTCGAGCATCGTGCCATGCCTTGGTTTCTTGCTTTGTAGAGGCTTGCACTGTCATATGCATTCATTCTCAGCTCTTCCAACTCATGAAGCTCTAGAAGCCTTTGCTCACACCGCACTGTGGAGATCAAAGTTGATTTGCTTGATTGCCCAATGCGTTCGGTGCTCCATCTCTACGGGTAAATGGCAATTCTTCCATAAACAAGCTTATAGGGGGTAGTCCCTATAGGAGTCTTGAAGGCGGTCCTATATGCCCACAATGAATCAATGAGCTTACTGGACCAATCCTTCCTTGTTCTAGCAACAGTCTTCTCTAAGATGACTTTTAACTCCCTATTTGTGACCTCCGCTTGACCACTTGTTTGGGGGTGGTAAGCAAGGCCTCGCTTGTGAGATACACCGTACTTTGAAAGAAGCTTGTTGAATGCATGGTGCTTGAAGTGTGAGCCTCCATCACTTATGATTGCCTTAGGAACACCGAATCTTGGGAAGATGACTTTCTTGAACAAATTGATGACCACCTTGAGTCGTTGGTGGGAGATGCCACGGCTTCCGCCCATTTGGAGACATAATCAACGGCAACTAGAATGTGCCGGTTTCCTTGGGATGAGATGAAAGGGCCCATGAAGTCAATTGCCCAAACATCAAAGATTTCAAGTTCAAGAATAGGATTTTGGGGCATCTCATCGCGCCGTGATATGTTCCCTGTCCTTTGGCACCTATCACAAGTCTTAACAAATTGCCAAGCATCTTTGAATAGAGACGGCCAAAAGAGCATACATTGCAAAACCTTGGAAGCGGTCTTTTGAGCACTCATATGACCACCACAAGGGGATGAGTGGCACATTGAGAGCACATCTTGGAATTCTTCATTAGGAACACATCTTCTCAAGAGTCCATCCACCCCTCTCTTCAACAACATGGGGTCATCCCATATATACTTCTTTGCTTCATGCTTGAGCTTTCTATGTTGTTGAGGAGTGAAATCCGGAGGTATGGCACTACAAGCCAAGTAGTTCACAATATCCGCATACCAAGGCTCCGATTTTGCCTCAAGAGCATATAAGACATCATCCATTAGGGCATCTTCAATTGGCAAATCGTCTTCATGTATTCTTGCAGCTCCTAACCTAGAGAGGTGGTCCGCCACCACGTTCTCGGCTCCCTTCTTATCTCTCATTTCGTAATCAAAATCTTGAAGGACCAACACCCATCTCAACAACCTCGGTTTGGCCTCCTTCTTACTTATCAAATATTTGAGAGCCGAGTGATCGGTATACACTATTGTCCTAGAACCAATGAGGTAGGTTCTAAACTTCTCAAATGAGTGGATAACCGCCAAAAACTCTTTTTCGGTAGTTGTATAATTTCGTTGGGCATCATTGAGAGTCTTGGACAAATAGTATATAACGTGAAGTTTCCCATCCTTTCTTTGTCCCAGAACCGATCCAATGGCCCCGTCGCTTGCATCGCACATTAGCTCGAATGGTAGAGACCAATCCGGTCCTCGGACTACGGGGGCGGTGCAAAGGGCCTTTTTCAACCTGCAAAATGACTCATGACAAGCTTCATCAAATACAAATTCTTTATCCTGTTGCAAGAGAGATGTGAGAGGCTTAGCAATCAAAGAGAAATTTTTGATGAAGCGGCGGTAAAAGCCGGCATGACCAAGGAAGGACCTCACTTCTCTCACATTTGTGGGAGGAGGAAGCTTCTCGATCACATCAACCTTCGCACCATCGACTTCGATGCCCACTTGGGAGATTTTATGGCCAAGAACAATGCCGTTTTCCACCATGAAGTGGCATTTCTCCCAATTGAGCACCAAGTTGGCACTCTCACACCTTTCTAAACAACAAGATAAATTCATTAGGCACTGCTCATACGTGCCTCCACCAACGGAAAAATCATCCATAAAAACTTCCATTTCTTCCTCGATCATTTCACTAAAAATTGACATCATGCATCTTTGGAAGGTGGCCGGGGCATTACAAAGACCAAAAGGCATCCTACGGTAAGCAAAAGTTCCGTAGGGACAAGTGAAAGTGGTCTTTTCTTGATCTTTTGGGTCAATTGGGATTTGGAAGAATCCCGAATAACCATCAAGAAAGCAATAAAAAGCATGCTTTGTAAGCCTCTCAAGCATTTGATCGATGAACGGTAATGGAAAATGGTCTTTGGAAGTGTTGGCATTTAATTGGCGGTAATCAATACACATGCGCCAACCCGTAACAAGCCGAGTTGGGACCAATTGTTGCTTATCATTGATCATTACCGTCATACCTCCCTTTTTCGGCACTACTTGAACCGGGGATACCCAATCACTATGAGCGATTGGATAGATGATCCCTGCTTCAAGTAGCTTGGAAACTTCCTTTCTCACAACCTCTTGCATGGAAGGATTAAGTTTCCTTTGTCGTTGCCTACACGGCTTAGCACCCTCCTCTAAATCGATCTTATGCATGCATAGGGAGGGGCTTATACCTTTGAGATCATCAAGAGTATAACCCAAAGCCTTCCTATGCATTTTCAAAACATTAAGCAATGAGGAGGTTTGCTCTTCCGTGAGGTTAGCATTGATAATGACCGGAAAAGTATCATTAACATCCAAAAAGACATACCTCAAGCCCGAAGGTAGAGGTTTCAATTCTACCTTCGGAGCTACCTTACCATTGGAGATTTCCTCCTCTTCTACTTGGAAGACTTCATACGGTTGGGGCATCTCTTGGTCGGGGGTTGTCTCTTCTTTCTCATCAAGCATTTCCTCATATAATTGCATCTCCTTTTGATCACCTACCTCATTCT